TTTAAATTACAAAAGATTTGTAATTACGTTAAAATAATTAATTTTTGCTTGATTTTGCTTCACTTTTTAAATTATACATACATTGTTTTAACATTTCAACAGTTTGACCGGTCTTATTGCTTTTCCCAATTGCTACGCGCACTATGTCCCCTGCCCCTCTCTTATTCAACAAATCAAATTCTGCGAATTCGCCCAGAAACCTTGTTCAGTTTAAGGCGGGCAAAATGACAATGAAGCCAGACAAATGGGTTCATGCTGATCATCGGAAGGGATGGGCTTATCTTTACCAGGCGACCGATGGAAAACTTCACTTTTGTTGGATCGATAGGATGACTGGCTATGTTGAAGATGTAATTATATCCGACCTTATTTAAAAAGAGCTTTATAGTTTCGCCTAAAAAGGCCAAGCTTAAACGGGTTTCTAATTGTACCACAGGAAGGGTCTATGTACTCTTGCTAGAATCAAAAAAGCGCTTCTTTATATGGATGCAAGTACGTTACCTTTGTGTTTATACTTCAGGAGCGAGTTTCTGCTTGTGACGATAATTTGTGCTCCAAAATAAACGAGTTCATAAACTCACCACCCCAGTCCGTTGGGGCTCAAATTCGTAAGCTGCCTAATCTTTTTCTAAAACACTGTTTAGCTGACTGGCCTAGTAGCATGAGTGAATTCAGTCGTTTTTCACATGCGGACTTAATAGCCCTGTTTAGTAAGTTCGTATATTTTTATATTTTAAGCTGGTGGCGCCGGATATGGTAGTACCAATTCATCTGATCGCGATTTGTAAGCCTTTATTTGTATTATTTGTATAGAACTTCAATTCAGGCCACTCTTGGTAGACATCTAAGCGCCAGAATTTTAGACACTCCTATATTGCAAGCCGCTACTCCTGCTGCCAGTGAAAAATCAACTGTAAGTTCAAAAACTAATTGAATTTTCCTCTTATCTTGCTCTCATTTGCGTGTTTTGTTTAGGCAAGTAAGGGATCAAAAATACAGCTTCAGGATCTTCATGAAATCTTGAATTCGATAACAAGTGGTGAAGCTTCCTCTACCAGAGGTATATCTTAAAACAATTACTTTTTTCGCTGGCTAATTTTTTCTACATATGTGGCTCATGTTCATCTTCTATAATGGGCCATATACATAGTTTTACTTATTCTTTCCTCGAGTATCCTATCCTTGTTCATTCTTTTAGCTACATTTATTTATTCTACAACCTATCGTACTTATCTGTACCTTGACACTATAGTTGCCATTTTCTTATTTTAGTTTCTTTTATTCAACCCTGTGAATAGTTATTTTACTTTGTATACTTCTCTAGTTGTTACAACTTGCGTTCGAGTAGGATTTTCGTATGTATCCATTGCTATTAAAGCTATGTCATTAAACATTCTTAATGTTCTATAGACGATCCTTGTGGATAGTCAAACTCCTGTTCCTATTTTGACTTTTTTTCAGTCAGAATGGGTATACATAATGTTGTCACCTTTTTCAATCTCACTTTTTACGATCTCACTATAAAAATATGATTTTCGTCTCCCCATTGTTAATCATCATGCTCATATTAGTTAAGCAATGCACGTGCTTGTAGGCCGGATCCGATTAGGCCCAAATAGCATCTGGCTTTGCTCAAGGAGCTTATTCTTGTCTACTTTTCACAATGATGATTTTTTAATTGCCATGGTTGTTTCATGTTTTTTATTTAGCGAAAACGAATTGTCTAAAAATTGCATGTATGCAAAACTTTC